AACATTCTCATTTCTGCTATTTTTATCTTCTGGGCATGAGATTCTTGACTGGCCAATACTCGGCTCCATATAACATGGCCGGTCTATCCACAATATTACATTTTCAACAAATTTACTCTTCTTCGAAGACAGTAGGTTTAGCTTATTTAGACTTTAGTGAATAATCTGGAAGAATTTTAGGAAGTTACGGGCTCCCTTCATTTGTAACCGGGACGATGCCTGAAACTTTTGTGAATTACAGCACTTCATTAGCGCTGATTTTTGAATACTATAGTTTACTTACTTTAGCAACTCTACTCTTATTCACCCTTCCTAAGTTCCCTAAAATTCCTAAAACTGGGGGTTAAGAAGTTTAAAGTAAGAACACAGATATTAACACAATATTTATTTTGACTCCTGATAACCCCAGAACAAGAAAAAAAAAATGGGGAAGGGTCAACTCCATCCAGAGAATGAACCTACAGAAACGCAAGGCACAAAACCATGTGATGAACCTACCAGATATATGAGCTTTATCAACAAATCATAGATCTTCCTGTAATTTACAAACTAAAGAACAATCTGAGTCCACCCACTCATTTGCTCCACAAGGAAACGGGACAGTGCGAGCTAAGTCTGTAGACTCCGTTACATTGTTTACATTACTGTATGCAAAATCTACTATAGGCCAAATAAGTATTCCTCTTCTTTCCCTCGTATACCCAGAATATTCATCTAACGCGTATGGTCAGTTTGTGTTAGTCTATTTTCTCCTAGATATTGGATACTATGCATTTGCATTAGTCTATTTTACATGGACTGGTGTCCAAGAATCACCCTTATCCATACTGCATCGAGTCTTGAGAAACACTATCAAATATGCTATGTAGATCAGAATGGTGAGGAATGAGGTAAATCGATGCCAGCAAACCCTGGAAGGAATCTCTATGCAATCAGTACAGAAATCTATATAACAGTGGCAGGGTGCAAAGATCCTCATACGAATGTAGTCTCTAGTAGATGTTGGAACAGATTCTTATATGATTACCTACGAGTATCTCATCTGTTATACTAATTTGACCAAGAATAGAAAATAGATTTGCAGGGATCATATTGGATTAGATCAGTGTAGAGGAAAGGTTATTTGGTTTAGTCGAATAAAAACTATATTGACTTTTAGTGTCTGCGATCATTCAATAAACCGAACATAAGATTTAGCCGAACATACACCAAGTACGGAGCAAAAGTATATTTACTCTCCGTCTCTCACACAACCAAATCAATACTTAAATATTCTTATCCAAAGCAGACACTAAGAGTCTTTTTGTATACATTTTTATTCTTTTGCTAACAATAACCATTTGGGGCATGTAAAGTCCCGTAGCCATTATACACCATTTCCATCATGACTGATCACATAGGTATCCACAGAAACTAAATACTGCCAGCTAGAAGTCGAAAACAAAAGTCACATGCGGAAAAGCTAAGAAAAGAAAAGTACTATTATAGCGTAAATACTAGCTAAAAATCTATTCTTGCAAGAAATTATTACCAAACAACAACAACAACCCAGCAAAATCCCATAAGTGGGGTCTGGGGAGGGTAGTGTGTACGCAGACCTTACCCCTACCCCGAAGGGGTAGAGAGGCTGTTTCCGAAAGACCCTCGGCTCAAGATAATAAAAAGAAGACAAAAGGATAGGATATTAGATTCATCACGGAGATAATAGGAAAAATAGGAACATAAAATGCAGAAGAAAAATGCAAAGCAAAACGGTGGCTAGTAAATGGATCCAACGTCGAAAAAGAAAATAGTAAGACACGACATTACCCCTAGCTCTCTTAGACAAAACCCTACCGGACTAGGCTCACAAAGGTACAAAGTAACGCAAAACTCAACTACCTCCTAGCCTACAACCGTAATACTCGATCTCCACAACTTCCTATCAAGTGTCATGTCCTCGGAAATCTGAAGTCTCGCCATATCCTGTCTGATCACCTCTCCCCAATACTTCTTAGGCCGCCCTCTACCTCTTCTCGTGCCTTCCACAACCAGCCGTCCACACCTCCTTACTGGAGCATCTGGGCTTCCTCTCTGGACATGCCCGAATCATCTGAGCCTCGCTTCCCGTATCTTTTCATCGATGGGAGCCACGTGCACCTTCTCCCGAATATCATCATTCCTAATCTTATCCATCCTAGTGTGCCCGCACATCCACCTCAACATCCTCATTTCTGTTACTTTCATCTTTTGGATATGTGAGTTCTTAACAGGCCAACACTCAACCCCATACATCATGGCCGGTCTAACCACCGCTTTGTAGAACTTACCTTTGAGTATCGTTGGCACTCTCTTGTCACACAAGACTCCAGATGCTAACCTCCACTTCATCCATCCTACCCCAATACGGTGTGTGACATCCTCGTTGATCTCCCCTCCCCCGTGGATAACCGAACCAAGGTACTTGAAGCTGCCTCTACTTGGGATAACCTGTGACTCAAGCCTCACATCCACGTCCACTTCCCCCGGCTCAGCGCTGAACTTACACTTGAGGTATTCTGTCTTCGTTCTACTTAGCTCGAAACCCTTAGACTCAAGAGTCTGTCTCCAAACTTCCAATCTCTCGTTAACACCGGCTCGTGACTCATCAATCAGAACTATGTCATCGGCGAATAGCATGCACCATGGCACCTCCCCTTGAATATGGTTTGTTATCGCATCCATCACCAGGGCAAATAAGAATGGACTGAGCGCAGAGCCTTGGTGTAACCCCATTTCAACCGGAAAATGCTCAGAGTCGCCTCCTACTGTCCTCGCCCGAGTCTTAGCCCCATCATACATGTGCTTAATTGCCATAATATAAGGAACCGACACACCTTTTGCCTCCAAGCATCTCCAGAGAACTTACCAAACAAGACAACGGCAAAACAAATTACTTATCAAACTAGAGTAATCTCATACATTTCACAAAAATCATCATATTGCCTTTACTTCCATGACAACTATTAAGCTTAATTTTAAAAAAAAAAAAAATCCGCTGCTGCAACACACAAGACATGAAACAAACTAACATAAAGAAGCAAAGGAGAAAATGGAAATTACTCTAATAAGAAAGAGGAAAAAAACAGAAGCCCGATTCTTAAAAAATAAAGCTAGTGTTGCCCATAAAAATCCTTTATACATAGCCCATTGTTCGCCCTCCGGGATTTCTTGATTATAAAAAGAAATCCTTTATACTTGGTTAAATCAATTCTAAACTGATGAACTTACCACAACTCTCTTCCTATACTGTGAAGGAAAACAGAGAAAAGAATAATGGAGGAGTCCATTATCAGGAATGAATTTTCCACAATTTCCGCCCTTCCATCAGGTACAACACCATCACAGTCCTTAAATCAAGTGAATGCTATCTCACAGACTGAAACATTCGGGATGTTAAAAGACACTACAGTTCAATTTCTTGGAAGATATTTAGTGGAAATTCATCCAGGAAAAGTTATGATGTTCCCGCTCTATAAATTAAACACTTCTTGAGGAATAATAGTGCACTAAGGAAAGAATGAAATCCTTGGTATGTATCATGCAATATGAGTAGTAGGTGCAAAATAAAGATAATAAAGCAGAAAATAAGAAAAATATAGTAGTAAAAGATAATAGACAATGAAACAAAAGTTAATGACCTCGATCTTCAAAAGTATAATAGACACCTTAGTATCTAATCATTGTCATGGCTAAATTGTGATACTGAAAAGATGGGACAACACAAATTGCTATCGAACTGTGCCCATAAGACAAGCATAATAGACACTATGGAAAGCTCTTACAACAAATCATGTACCAAAGGCCGTAAGACAACTCCAAGAGAAAACGAACACTACAGAATTTCAAGCTAATGTCTTCACATGTGCAAATAGATAACTTTTTGTTGAAAATGCAGTACCGATGAAAATGGAACAACTGAATTGAAAGAAAAGCCTAGAACGGATGTAAGAAGCCATTAAAAAGAGGATAAGGGTCACCTAACCTTAGAAATCAACATATAGCACAAATACTAGAACCTACCTTCTAGATATGCTCATACATGTCGGAATCTGCAAAGAGAGAGACTTGCATATTTGGCTCTACGAGCAAGTGAAGATGAGGGTAGCAATGCAATGCAAGGATCATATAGCAGGGGATGTTTGCTCAGGAAGGAGAGTAGGTGGTCATATACAAAGAAAGAAGTCAAGTCGCTTGAAGAAGAAAAAACTTGCCAAAGCAAAAATTCAAGAGGCAGAAACGTTCCGGAGAGACTACAATGAGCTACAACCGGAATATGAAAAATATAAACAATTAACATAAGATTCTTTTCCTTTTTTGATAAGGTATAATTTTTTATTAACAATTGGGGGAAACCCTGTATACAAGCCGTACGCCAAAAAGAGAGAACCTACACCAAAATATAGTTCTCAACAAAAGGAGCCAAATCCCCTATACGAATAGGGACCTCATACATACACCAAAAAGAAACTAGAAACAAAAGACCATTTTACAAATAACATAAATTTATCAGGCAGAACATTTGAATGGAGGAAGATTAAAAGATTTGGTCTTTCCACGGAAAATGGGACATCGAAGAAACTGAAGAAAGCGAGTCTATTATAATAATGTAGAGCTGTTCTCATTGAAGGCAGCCCATATCCTGAGATTCCCAAACTTGACATTTTTCTCATATCTGATACACGAAACTGGCAAGATTACCATTTCTTTGTTCTGGATATAGAAGACTGGTCTAACCTAGACCCAAATTGCATACACAATATATTCCCACAAATTCCTAGTCATTTTCAAACAAAAACATAAAGTATCAGACTATTTGCTTTTCTAGTTTGTAACATAATCAGTTTCTTTGTCAATGGCACATTTACCTGATCATTTCACAGTTCCATCATGTGTAGCAGTCACAAATTCACTTAAATTTGCTGAATTTCTTTTCCAATCAAGTGGTTTTGTTTAGCTTTGAGTATTCCATCAGTAAAAGATATCCTGAACTTTCTAATACCCATTTCAAGATTGAACATAAAATAAGTACATCACCGCTATTTCTTCCAAAGAATACTTTCCCCATACTACAAAGTGCATCTTTGAACATTAGTTTGACTCAATAACTGGAAAGCAGCTCATCTGGTTCAAGCTACAAAGTTTTACATGCCTCCAATATATAATTAACATAAAACCATAGAACTCCATCTAGCTTTTCAAAATTAAACTAACAACATTTCCAAGAAAATTCAAATTATTCCAAAGAAAATAGATGATTTACCTAGGAGCATAAGACCTCATACTGCTCCAAGGGAACTTTGCTGCTGCAGCACCAACATCTGAAGAACGTTCTCCACCACGTTCACGATCACGACCACGACTGAATCTCCTCTCTGAACTACTCCTCGTGTCTCTCTTCTCGTCAAGCCAATGCATCTTCTTAGGCTCGTCATCCTCAACAATGCTAGACTTAGATTTCTTGCTCATATTTTTCTTTTCCTCTTCGATCATTCGTATAGGATAAAGATCCCTCGATATGGACAAAGGGTTCTTAAGTGTAACATAAGCTTTTTTGTAGTCAGGTTTAGCAATTAATAGCCCACCTCTCTTCTTCTTCTTTCCATCCATGTTTAAAGTTTGGACCTTTTCAACTTCAAAGCCGTACAATGACTCCAATACCCTCTTTATCTCAATCTATACATATAATTCTAACAAATATTAAAAATCTTTGGTATCAGAGAATCGCTTATTATTGAATAGAACAAAATAGATAGAGAAATATGTATGGCTTGTTTCAAAAGTCTTTTTTTTTTTAAAATTATGTGTCGAGCCAAACACCATAACATAAAATGGGATCGGATGGAGTAGTAATAATGTGAAATATAGTAAAAAAGATGTTACCTTGGAAGCAGAGGGGATGGTTTTGAGGGAGATCTCAGTGATGTTGGAGAAAGAGGAAGGCATGAGAAGCTTAATCGGAAGATTAGCGAAGTTTACAACTCTTCTTCCTAATCGACTTCCCATGATTGTCACTGTAATTCGGAACTCTCAGCAATGGCGTCTCTGTGTAGGGAAAGAGGGTATAACTGTGGGTTGAGCCTAAAATGTGCGTGGGCTAGCACTCTACTACTTTAAGGAAAAATAGTGAGTTGAGTTCGGCCCAGGCCCAAGTGTCAAGAAAAGTGGGCCGACATTGATCATATTGTGAATTGAAGAGAGGAAGCAGAAACAGTACCGATGAGCATGAAACAATACCAGTAGAAATGGCATGGGGTAGCCACTATTTAAAGTGGTATTTACTTTTTATCCAGCATTTTTAATGCTTAGCAATAGTAGCCACTAGTCTATTAAAATTAATATGACAAGACTGTGTTACCCTTTCTTCTATCTCTTTCATGTGTTAGGGAGAACTGTACCGCTATCTGTTGAGGTTTCAAATAGATCTCCTGCTGTTAACTTTTCGTCATGAGCTTATTAATTCTAGAAACAAATTTTATGCTACTGCTAATTAACACAATTGATGGGAATTATAAAGTACATTAGAAGATGGAAAAGACTGTTATATGGATCAAAAGGCTAATGTTTCAATATAATATTAATTGTAATCATACATTGTCGAAAAGAAGCTAACCAAGCTAGCTCATAATAAAATAAATCTAAGTTTGGAATTAGGATGATCTCTTGGAGGTGCATATTTATTGAATTACTTTATAGCATCATTCTACCTTGTTAAATATTGTACGTTATTATCCTTATTGTGTGTTTGCATTTAATTTATTTTGTGTTAAAATAAATTAAAAGTTAAGGATAATAGGTCCTGAACTTAGGCTAAGAAGCCCAAAAGTTAAGGACAGGCAGTCCTTAACTTACAGTTACAAGTTCAAAAGTTAAGGACAATAGGTTCTTAACTTTGATTTCCAAGTTCAAAAGTTAAGGACAGACAGTCCTTAACTCACAGTTACACGTTCAAAAGTTAAGGACAAGCAGTCCTTAACTTACAGTTACAAGTTCAAAAGTTAAGGACAACTTCCAAGTTCAAAAGTTAAGGACAGACGGTCCTTAACTTACAGTTACACGTTCAAAAGTTAAGGACAAGCAGTACTTAACTTACAGTTACAAGTTCAAAAGTTAAGGACAATAGGTCCTTAACTTTGACTTACAAGTTCAAAAGTTAAGGACGCTTGGTCTTGAAGTTTGAGTTCCAAGTTCAAAAGTTAAGGACATGTAGCCTTGAAGTCCTGAACTTAGAGTTCCAAGTTCAAAAATTAAGGACATGTAGTCCTGAACTTAGAGTTACAGGTTTAAAAGTTAAGGACATGTAGTCTTGAAGTCCTGAACTTAGAGTTTCAAGTTCAAAAGTTAAGGACATGTAGTCCTGAAGTCCTGAAGTTAAGGACATGAGCAGAAGGGTATTTTCGTCCGGGCAGTTAAAGTTTATTAAACCAGTGGCTAAAGACTAAAGACAATTAAAACACTGACTTTAAAATAAAGACAGGAGCTGTTAGTGGCTATTTGTGCACATCGCCCAACAATACTACTAGCCGCTAGGAGAGAAAGAAATAGTATTTGTTTATGTTGACACTTTTTGATGTATTATATACCTTATTTTACTAGAAATAAACTTCTTCTGGATAATTTTAATGGATTTTAAATCATCCTTTATGAAGATATAGTTTTTTCGAATACTCATAATGTCATTTGTCAATGATTTTATTTTCTCAAAGGTCCAGTTTTAGTGTTTTTCTTCTTTTTTGGAGCTACTAATACCTAAGGGAGTAGCGACAATTTGAACTTTCATTGAAATGTTCTTTTAGCACGATTTAAAATTGAAATCTTATTCTTTGTATATGAATGAAAATCTGAAAATGTGAGTTAATGAACAAAATAATTTTTTCCCAAATAGAAAAAAAATGCAGTATAAATTCAAATATAATCTTATCATAGCAACAAACATAATTGTAAATAGAAAAAGAAAAAAGATAAGAAAATTTTGCAAAAACAATATAAGCTAGCTGGACCCAACGTATATGTCAAAGGCCCACAACCATTGTGGTTGTAAGGGGAATAAGGTTTATCCATGTCGCTGCTTACATAAGTGTGGATAAAGCTTATTAGGTACGCTATAAGTTCAACTAAACTTAATATTTACGCTCTGAAACATAAATATGCAATAAATAATCACATAGTTTTAATGACTATTATATTCTGAATTCATAATTATAAAAGTCAAATAAATTTACATTAATAACTTGAAAGTTAAACTTATCAAGTTTAAATTTCAGGTCAATCTACCTTTAGCTTATACCACTAAATCAAGAAGGAACCAAGAAGATGAGATTTGGAGCAAACACAATTGAGGATTCTAATTTATCGGATATGTGTTCGATTTTGTAAAGCCCCAGAAATTTTCCTAACAGGATTAAGCCGAACTCGAGCTTAAGAGAATATTTTGCGAGACCTCGAAGTGCTTGCGAACCCACACGAGGGTAAATGGGATCATTGCAATACTTAGGCATGAAGGTAAGATGGATTTAAGGCCCTCAAGTTGTATGGTTAAAGACATAGCTTGGAATGATTGAGCTAAGAGGGAGGAAAGGATTCCAGCAGACCTGCGTAGCCTACGCAGGCAAAAACAAAATGAAAAAATAAGGGGAGGCTTTTGTTACTTGCGGTAGCGAAGCTGCGTAGGCTACGCAATTTGACTACGCAGGCTATTTTCTATAAAGATAGGGAGGTTCGGGAAAGAGAAAATGAAGAAGATTTTGAAGGTTTTGGGGTTCTAGAGAGAGAGGCTCTCGGTCATGGGCATTCCATACACTCCAAGGTGAGTTTTTATCCATATTTTATGCTAATTAATGTTGGGAAGCACTAGTATTAACATTGCAACATTCTTGAGTTTGCTAGATTTTATCAAATCCACCAAGAACACCAAAAGAGGGATTTTCTAGGGTTTGCTTCTAAAGGTAAATCTCACTACTTGAAACTTATTTATGGAGTATAAATGAGTGTTATAATATTACTTATGAGTTGGAGAAGTAGTTGAAAGAGTGGAATAGATGAATCCGAGCTTTGACATTGAAAAACTTGTTAGTAGGGAAGATGAATAGTGTTGGGTTTATTTGAAAGACGTCGTTTTGAGTTTCTAATGGAGCGACTAGATTCCATAACACATTTAATGGATGAATTGGAGCTGACATTCAAGGATTGACCTTCAAATGGTGAAATAATAATTTTTTGTGAAAGTCGTGAAGTTGGAACTAAGTGCTAGGCGCTTAGTTGGTTTAATTGGTATTGTTGTGACGCGTTAATGGTTTATGTGAACTCATAAATGCAGATATCGACTTGTGATGGCATTTGGGCATTTTAAACAAATTGGAGCATTGTAGTAATAGTTTAAGCTTGGACTTGAGGTTAGTTGATTAATACTTACTCTTCTTGATCAGGGATTTTCTCTAAAATCATATTTGAATTATTAAGTGAGTTTGTTTGTAAATGTGTATCCATACTTATGGGGACAAGCGGGAAACGATGACACCATGTATTTTGAGTTGTGTTGCATAAAGGAAGTTTTGTTGTTTTTACAATTGAAAAATCTTGTTTCTAGAGATTTGATGTCAAATGATGCTAAAGGAAAATATTATAAGTTTTATACAAACTTGAGCATTGAAAAGAATATAAAATATTTGAGGGCTAAAGATGTATTTTTATAAAGAGTATTTATTTTGAAACTTGATTAATGGATAACACTCGTTGTATCTTTAAATGATGGATATTAAATTGCTAAAGGGGATCATATATTTGATTGTTTTTATTCAAAATGGTTTAGTTGGCCATGAGCAATGAATTGATAAGAATAGATCTTTTGAGGCTAATATGCTATGAATTTATTTTTGAAATATCAAATTTTTTGGGTGTTACTAGTGGAGACCACCGAGATTGGTTCGAATGATGAATTCGTTACCATAGAACTACACGTGCCGGTGTAGGGATACATTCCAAGGATAAGTCGAGGTTTGTGGGATAAAGTTCCCCATTGAAAGGGCAAATGATCATTGCTTAAAGTAATGAGGTTAAGTCGACTCGTACGGCACTACGGAAAGCCGCCCAGACAAGTAGGATCAAATACTTGTTACTAGGTCGATCACCTAGTAGTTGTTTATTATGGCGGTGTCGGTGTAGTACTCCCGATAAAAAGGTAAAAGATGATTTCGTTATGTTTAGTCTTAAGGAGCCGAAAGTGACTTCAATAATTTAATGAAGTTGAAATGGTTTTTCATGATTTTTTTATTAGAATCCTGGGTTGATATAAATGTTTTAAAAGTTTGTATCATGATTTATATTTTTCTAGTCTTTTCATTTAAAATAATAAAGAGCATGAATTGATATAATTGTTATCATTCTATATCAAATGCTGGTTGCATTATTTTGGTAAAGCCTTGTACCAGGAACTTAAGTTAGAGAGAGTCTATGACACTTATTGAGTACCGCTGTGGTGTATTCAGCCCTCAGGGGCCCCTCTCCAGTGTCCCACTTACTTTACATATTTTCAGGATGAGACGTGGTACATGATGAGCTGATGGGGCAATAGGATGACTCTCTTTCCGAAGCATATAGCAAGGCACCACTTCTATTCCTCGGTAGTTTTCATGTTGATCTTACTTACTTTTGGTTGGGTTTGTCCCAAGTATTTACTTCATCATTGTGTCTTAGAGATTCTACAGACAGTTGTTATGCTATGGGAGTTGTAATCGAGAGTTATTCGTAAATCATGCATGAAAGAAATATTGTTATTCTTTTGTATTTTTCAATTATTGAAAATTAATGGATTTAAAGATCGTGATTCATGTATGGTTTTAATCATTTAAGATGACTGTGTTTTCAAAAAGGCTTCCGCATGTAATTACTTTGCATATAGATGGACATTCTTGTATGGTTTGGTTCGCCCGGGTTGGATAGTGTGCTGGGTGCCGGTCACGTGATTTTGGGTCGTGACAGATTTGTAGGGAAGAATTTTTTACATGTTATATTGTTTCTTGCGTTAACCAGTATTCCCACTTCTATCATGGAGTTTGCATGTTAGAATGGCTTTGAAAAAAGATAGGTCTTGTCC